ATGAGGGCCTGTTTATATGTCTTTTACCCTGGTGCCTTAAAACTGCTAAGAAGAAATGAGGGCCTGTTTATATGTCTTTTACCCTGGTGCCTTAATACTGGAACAATGAAACAAGAAGGCCTCTTTGAAGCTGTGTTGAGCTTTTTTCTATTCCTTTAAATGCCGTTAAAACATCTGTTTGCCTTGCTTTGTTCAGGACGGTTCAAGTGCTCAGAATGTGGTAAAAAGTAGTAAGAATTTTTTTTTTTTGTTTAATTTTTTTTCTTTTTTTTGCTGTATGCATGAACAGCCAGTACCCCACCTGGAGCAAAAAAAAATCTATCAAAACAGGAAGTGCCTGGCATAGGTTTCCTGTGTTATGCCAATAGAGTGGAGAAGAGTAGGGAGTTCATCTGTATCTTGCAAAATGACATGCATGGTGTATGCCGTCTGCCCCCATCTGGCTTCACAGAAACATTAGTGATCTTTGAATCATAACCCAATGTTTACCTGGATGCTGGGTAGGGAGTGAGGAATCTGCTTAATCGATTATCGACAAAAACTGGAAACAATGCAAATATCCACAGCTGCTGAATAAAAAAACAGCAGTATATCCATGCAGTGGAATACTACTCAGCACACAAAAAGGAACACACTAATGATACAAGCAACATGAATGATTCTCAGAAGGATTATGCTAAATGAAAGAAGCCAGACACAAAAGGCTACATATGCTATGATTTAATTTATATGACATTCTGGAAAAGGCATAACTATATAAAAGGGTCCCTGGATGGTGTAAACGGTTAAGCGATTGACTAATAACAGAAAGGTTGACGATTAGAGGCATACCTACCCCAGAAGTGCTTTGGAAGAAAGGCCTGGCAACCTTAGCTTTGAAAACCCTGTGGAATAAGCACAGTTCTACTCTGCACACACGAGGTCGTCACGAGTAGGAATCACCTGCGGGCAACTGTTTGTTTTTTTAGTAGAGATAGAAGTCAGATCAGTGGTTGCCAGGAAGTAGGAATGGAGTACCGGTCTGACAGTGCAGCAGCTGGAGGGAACTTTCTGAGGTGACAGAAATGTTCTCTGTTGTGGTGATTGTGGTAGCGCTTACACGACCTTATATATCTCATACACCTCATAGAAGAGTACATCTAAACAACGTGAATTTAACTTATTTAAATTACACCTCAAGAAAGCTGAGGGGATGAAAGAAAAAATACAAAAAACAAACAAAAATCCTTCCCTTTGCGCGTTCCCAACCAAGACGCTGAAACGGGCCCACAAGGGCGCCTCATAAAGCCCAAGGATCTCAGTGCTCCGCCTGGCGCCAGGGAGGGCGCCGCAGAGCTCGGGACGCGGGAGGAAAGCTGGGGCGGGCGGGCGGGAAGGGAAGACGAGGCTGCGTCCACACAGCCAGGCTGGGACGAACGTCCTCACTGAGGAGCAGGAGAGAGATGTAGGTAAGACGGTGCTTCAGCAGACGCAACCATGACTTCCCTGCATTGGCCCCAACACTTCCGGGGACTGCTTACCGATATTCCCTTCGATGGAGATTTTCTTGACGCGGGTCCCCTCAGAGCTGGTCGCGGGCGATGGGCAGCTTCTCTTGGGCGGGGTAGCCATTCTGTCGTCTTGTTGCGGCTCCGAGCGCGTTAGGCAGGAAGGGCTGGGAGGTGGCCGCAGGTGCGTGCGCTGGGGCTCGCGCCGCCTCCAGAACTGGGTTGACTTGCCGGCTGTAGTCAAGCGGGTCACTGGCTTCCCGACCCGTGGGCCTCGGGGTTTGATTTTGGCGCGCGGAGACAGCTGCTGATGGGGGAGGGGCCTGCGTGGTGGACGCCCGCCCAGCGGGGAAGCCACGCCTTACCCTCGCCCCAGCCTGAGATCCCTCCTTCGGCCCCTCACCGTTCGCCGCCTCGGGCTTCGGCCCCAGCGTGCGCGCCCCAGAAGTCGAGTCACGCAGGAGCGGGGCGGGGCCGTACGCGCGGCGGCACGCCTCTTTCCCGGTTGCGGGAATGCGCCGAAAAATGGGTATTGCGCAGCTGGGCTTTGGAGACTTAGCGTCTCCACTGCGAGTTGAACAGAATTGTCTGGGCCGAATTGGTTGGACTGGACATTTTTAACTCACCAGAGAGCCACTGTTTGGTAGAAAAATTAAATAGATTCCCCTGTGTTGGGAGTCTGGAGGAACACTTATCAGGCAAAGTGCCGCTGGGCAGCTCGACGCTCTGGAAATGTATTATGCTCTTACTGCGCTTTTCAGGAATTAACTAGCAGTACGGTGCGGAGATCCCATTGGCCCCATTTTACCAGTTAGGAAAGAGGCACTAAGAGGCTACTTGTTCAAAATCTCAAGGTCAGTAAGTGGAACCCGGATGAGAATTTATGTAGTAAGACGCCACCTGCAAGAAGCCTTTCCTGACCTCCCTCTCCATTTGATTTCGATGCATGTCTGTGCTGTGTATAAGTTACCACATCAAGTAAGATGTTGAATTTGAGTGCCTGCTAGTTTACCATGTATTATGCTATAAGACTCGTTTAAAAAACAAAAACCAAACCTGTTGCGGTGGAGTTGATTACAACTTGCAGCAACCCTGTAAGCGTAGCACTGCCCCATAGGGTTTCCAAGCCTGTAATCTTTATGGAAGCAAACTGCCACATCTTTCTCCCACAGAGCTGTTGGTGAGTTCGAACTGTCGACCTGCCAGTTAGCAAGTGAGTGCTTAAGCACTGTGCCACCAGGGCTCCTTTTTGGTTTAATACAGATGGTTTTTAAGTAGAGCTTCGATCTTGCAGGAAATACCCTTTATTTTGTGTGCTACTCTTCTAAAGGTGATCTCAGGGGATAGACTTGATTCTAGGTTTAAAGAGTGTCTCAGGGTAATAGTCTCAGGGAGTCTCCTAGTTTCTCTGGCTTTATTTATTTATTTTTTTTAAGAATTTGAGTTCTGCTCCACATTTTTCACTCATCCTATCCAAGACCATCTATTGTGACCCTGGTCAGAATGGTCAGTGATGATAGCCGAGCACCATCTAGCTTTTCTGGTCTCAAGTAGACGAGGTTGTGGCTCCTGTAGACTTGTTTCTTCTCTGACCTTTTGGTTACCGTCTTACTGTTTTGCTCCTGGCAAGTAGAGACCGGTAATTCTGTTTTAGATGGCCGCTCACAAGCTTTTAAGACCACAGACTCTGCTTGCTTCACTAGGATGCAGATCATGATTTTTGTGAGCTGTGTTATGCCAGTTGACTGAGTTGTCCCGTGAGACCATGGTCCTAAGCTTTCAAACCCAGAAAACCAATCTTGGAAGGTGTTTGGTTATGTTTGAGGAGTATCCATATTTGTGTCTTTAATGAATATATGTGCCTGCACCGACATATTTGTATTTATACGTACCTATAGATACTTCTGTCAGCTCTCAGCTATGTACACACCTGTACCTACCCGTGTACCAATATGACTGTACCCATCCCTATGTGCTCAAACACTCGTTAACTTTGCTTGTGCTGTGCTCACTACAACCACCTTCAGTGCCACTTTTCCCATCACCAAAAATAACAAGTCTCTATGATCTAAAGCATATTCCTCCCTCCCCCTGACCCCGTAACCACAAACGAACATTGGTCTCTCCGTATATATCTGTTCTTGTCATCTTATAAAAGAGGGATCATAGAATATTTGTCCTTATAGGCTTGACTTATTTCACTTAGCATTATGCCCTCCAGGTACAGCCATGTTATAAAAATATGGAATGCTTCATTAATTTGTGTGTCATCCTTGCGCAGGGGCAATGCTAATCTGCATCGTTCCAATTTTAGTATATGTGCTACCGAGCGAACACATGGTCGTTTTTTTTTTTAACGTTAAGTCAAATCATGTCACTACTTCTGTTTTTCCTTAAAAAATCTCCACTGCCTTCCCATTTACACTTAAAATGATAATCTAAAATCCCTTGCCTTAGCCCCTAAAATATTAGTATGGTTCTACTAGCCTTTCTAATTTCTTCTCATACTACTGTTGCCATCATTCAAGATGCCCTAGCCACAGTTAATCTTTTTTCCCCGTTCCTGAAAAAGCTGCTTTTGCACTAGTTATTTGTGCTCTTCCCTTTCCCCCATATCTACAAATTGATGGCTTATTCTTCTTGTCTTTCTGGCCTTGGGGAGGCTTCTCTGACTACCCAGTCTAATCTAGTGCCTTATCTTGTCACATCATTGTTGTCACTACCCAGTAGTTCCTTACTGACTTTATTTTTTTCTTCCACTTCCTCTTCTTTGTCATCTTCCTCTCCCCTCATCAGAATACGGACCATGTCTTTCTTGTTCAATGCTGGGTCCCAGGGCTTAGAACAGAGTCTGGCACATAGTAGGTGGCCAGAATATGCTTGCTGAATGAACAAATGCAAGAGTGAATGAATCGATGAAATAAACTAACCTCCTGAGGTGGTGAAGAGCATTAATTGGAGGCTACTTCTTATTTTAATAGTAAGGATTTTTCTTTAATATTGACAAAATTGAGATCTAATTCACATACCATAAAACTCAGTCTTTTAAAGCATACAACTCAGTAGATTTTAGTATATTACAAAGTTACACAACTATCACCACTACTAATTCCCCAACATTTTCATTAACCCAAAAACAAATCCCATACTCATTAGTAGTCACTGTCCCTTCCCCTTCCCTCCCAGCCCCTGGCAACCACTAATCTACTTTCTATCTATGGATTTGCCTATTCTGGACATTTCATATAAATGGAATCATAAGAATATGTGGCCTTTTGTGTCTAGATTCTTTCACTTACCATGATTATTTCAAGGTGCATCTAAGTTATAGCATGTATAAGTACTCATTCCCTTTTTTTAAGATATAATTTACATAACATAAAATTCATCATTTTAATGTATACAATTCAGTGTTTTTTGTTTTTTTTAGGATATTCACAAAGTTGTACAACTGGGAGAGAACGTTTTCATCACCACGAAAGAAACACTTCCTCCTTCCCCTCAATCCCTGGCAACCAGTAATTTACTTTCTGTCTCTATGGATTTGCCTATTCTGGACATTTCATATAAATGGAATTGTATAATATGTGGCCTTTTATGTCTGCCTTCTTTCACTTAGCATAATGTTTTCAAGGTTCATCTTTTTATGACTGAATAATATTCCATTGTATGGACATGCCAAAACCAAACCAAACCCGTTGCTGTCAAGTCAATCCCAACTCATAGCAACCCTATAGGATAGAGTAGAACTACCTCATAGGGTTTGCAAGGAGTGGCTGGTGGATTCAAACTGCCGACCTTTTGGTTAGCAGCCTGAGCTCTTAACCACTGCGCCAAGACTCCAAACAAAACTATTCCCACCTGGTTACTTATCCGTTCATCAGTTGATGGGCATTTGGGTTGTTTCTCCCCTTTTGGCTGTTTTTAATAAACCTCATACCACCAAGAAAGCAGTGCCAGGAGCAGAGCATGTCCTTTGGACCCGGGGTCCCTGCTCAGAGAAGCTCCTAGTCTGGGGAGTGGGAGTGGGGGTGGGGAAGATTGATGAGAAGGCCGACAGAGAGAGAAAGCCGTCCCCTGGAACTGAATTTGGACTTTTAGCCTACTTTACTGTGGGGAAATAAACTTCTCTTTGTTAAAGCCATCCACTTGTGGTATTTCTGTTATAGCAGCACTAGATGACTAAGACATTAGGCATCAGCCTATAATCTCCAACATTTTGTTTATTAATATTCTTTAATGGTCTATAATCAAGACAAAATATTAGACAGCTTGATAGAAAGGTCAACAATATTAGTTCATTATTTTGCTCATGATACTAGTACATATGTGAAAAGCAAAGAACGGTGACAAAAGCAAAAAAAAAACCCACTGGCTTCAAAGTCAGGCATACTTGGGCTTACATCCTAGTCCAATCAGTCACTTGTTCAGTCTCTGAGCTATAGTTTTCTAGTGTATAAAACAGTGGGATACTAACTTCCAGGATTGTTAACACTACAGAAAATAATGCCTAGCACATTTTAAATGCTCAACATATTCCTTATACCTTCCGTGCTTCTCTAGAAATGTGTTCAACATAGACATACCTATAGCAAAAATAAACGGTAATACAAAGTCAGGGTTCATGGCCAAATATAACTATTTATTAATTTTTTCTTATAAACACCATTCAGTTTCTTCTTTAAAAACAAAGGAAAAACAAAAACCTAGAATTTAAATATTTCCCATCACATACAAGTCTGTATACATTATTTACATCTCTCAAATAAAACATATTACAGATTTTCTGACATTCAGTATCCCCTCTTAAAATGAACTGGTTAAACTTTAATCAGTAATACCTACAATTTGAGTAATAATATCTTGGCACAGTTAGCTTACAATAGAGCGTCCCATGTTGTATTTTATATTTTAGACTGTTTTTTCCACTTCCAGCTACTTTAATGTAAAGAGAAATTGTCTTATCTCCATGAGAGCAGGATGCCCATCTTTATGCATTCTTTTCAATACCTGCACAGTAAGAATGCTGCCCTTATGCATCCAATTCATGGCACTGGCAGTATTCTTCTGTTTTTGTCCTCAGAAATCATTTCTATTCAGACTTTCTAAGTGTTCTCATATTTATTGTATTCTCTCTCAATGTAGATTTGCTGACATTGTTCCTAGTGGTAATTTTAAGTAACAGATATAGGAAAAGCTCAAACAGAAAAGTAAGTGTTCCCTACAAGATTAGTGCCCTTAACTGCCCTAGTTATGCATGTACAAAAATAACAAATACAGTTTAGTGGCTGTAAAAATTATTTCCCCTAAAAATAGTCATCTCTGAAGAACAATATGAGAAAAGTGTTCTTAAAATGAAAATGCACTAATTTATTTTACAACCTACACAAGTATTTCAGAAACAGTAAAAATGAAAAAGTGTGCAAACCTGTAAGAAACACCCACCAATAAGAATTTAATATTAAAAATATATGAAAGATAAATATTAACAAAAATTATCACTAACAGACTCAGCTTCAGTGACCCGATCTTTAAAAAGCTGTCAGTTAAAACAAGCCAAAAATGCTTATGTAGGTTCCATCTTCCAACTTAAACTTACATATCGACAGTACTTCAGAATCACTAACATTGAAAACTAGCATGATCTACCTGTTTTATTTTCAGAGGGTGTGGGGAAAGGAATGGGCAGAAATGGAAAGTCAACAGCTAATAGAAAGCAACTTACCTCCAGGGAGGAGGTGGCAGGTAAACGACAGCTGGAAAGGCCAGTGATTTTATTATCTTTGAGAATTGTAGTCCAGAGTTTTCTATTATATAGTACTATATGGAGAAAAAGAAACTTGCATCACACTTGTAAAACTGAGAGTACTCAGAACTTTCATCTGTATTTTTTCTTTCGTCAGAATTTGTTAAGTATCAGTACAGCTACAACTACCAGTGGCGGTTTTACACAGTAAAACCTGTGAAAGCTGTAACCTGTGTAATGTGGAAACCTGTCCAGAGATGGAAAACTCAAAACATTTTCCACTTAAGCAGTAGAAAAGCAGTAAGACTGCACCCTGTCAAAGGCAAAAACTTGCAAGACCCAAATAAACAAGGCTGTCCTGTCAAGTTCTGGCTCTCACTGTATCTGCCCTCACTTGTTCCTCAGCTTTGAGTTTTCACACCCTCTGATCTATCTTCCACAAGGCTGCTAGAATGGCTTTTCTAAAATTCAAATCTGTGGCATCACACTTCAGATTAAAATCTTTACTGACTTCTTCTCTGTGATTAGCTTAATTAGGAAAGCCTTAAAAAAAATTCAAATCATCTGCAGTGTGAATTTTTGTTACGTCTTAAACTTTTCCATTAAATCTTGAGATAGCTTTACCTCTAAACATTTACCATCTCATATATATTAAACTGATAGCTGGACAACAGTGATTCCTATGGTAAGTTTTAACATTATGACAAAACGCTTGATATTTGAATTATTTTAGGCATGGTCCTTAAAGTATAGATGTAGACTAGTGTTTCTAAGAGTGAATATATTCTTAATATCCCAGTTAAGTTTCAAAATAAGATTAAGTTTCCTATGCAGTCACATTTCCAAATTACAAATATACTTCTGGTCCCACATCTTCTCAAAAGACATTAAAAATTGAAAGTTATAAATGATATATGAAATGGTTATATAATTCTACATATTTTACTGCGATATGTAAGCTTAAAATTCTACATAATATATAAAATGTATTCAAATTTCTTTATACAAGATCTCTAGTCTTTTATTAAAGTCTAATGGTTCATTTGAACGAAAAGATTTTTAAAAGCAACCATGGGAAATAAGGATAAAGGCAGTAAAGGATGTTTGTTCTTTACTATCTTAAATATTGGATCTTCATTTTTACATTCTATCCCCTCAGTCAAACTATCCTATAGTAGTCAAAATAGAATTCAAAAGTTTTTAGGCAAAGGAATAAAAATAGAAAACAAATTCTAGAGAAAGACCTTGATTTTTTAAATTATTATTATAGTCAACTGTAAGGTAATAAAACTGCATTTAAAAAAGAAAAAGTATAACCTATATATCCAAATGTATAGTAGTGACAGGAAACTACTCCCTTATTCAATGATGCTACTTTCAAAACATTCTCTTTTGCAAATCCAGAGCCTATGGAACATTCTATTGAACTGTCCTAAAGGCTTAGTTTTTGTAAAACAGCCAAGTCATTAGAGCTGGCCTGGTGAATAAGCTAGGTCATCTTAATCTGGCAAAAACAATTTTGGTGTAACTAAAATGATAAAATTGACTTTTCTTGCATAGTCATAAGTCGATTCTCAAGGCATTTTACTTCTGCCCCACAGCAGAAATAAGCATTGCCCCCAGGGGGACAAATGTGAAGATCAACTCTCAATTGGATGTTTAAAGTATGATACATTTATTTTAAAAGAAAGTCCTAAAACTTATGATTGTATCTCAGGTATTCTATCATTCAGTGGTTATCAAAACCTCTCTCAGAGAGGGAGTAGACAAAGGTATAAAAGAAATCTGTCATTTTGCTATTTTCCCTTAAGCAAGGAAAATGCTAATAGTTGATAAAATGGAGTCGTGATTATATGTAAAATATAAATATCCACATCATTTCTGTTTCCTGAATATAAGAGATTGTAGTGCTTTATCTTTTCTGATAAGCCAGGCAGTAACTCAGTCTGAGAAATACACTCAATGCATCTTCTACCTAATACATTTTATGCTGACCATTTAGAATTTACAAATGACAGTAAGAAAGCAATCTAAAATATTTCCGTTTAAGGTAAATTGAACTTCAAGGCCTCTACCAGCTAACACATCCTTGCTTACTGTTTTACTGCAGTCTAATGCTATGGGAAACAATAATCAAGTCGGCAAATGAAAGCCAGTAGCACCATCTACTGCTAACTGAAAGATTTTCACTCTTCCTGTTTTTAATTTCCACCACCAGTACTCCATCATTTAAAGTTACTTCCTGAAGCCTGCTTCATATCAACGTTTAACCAAAGCATTGTGAGTGACAATAATTTTGTGTTAACTTACTACTTTATTTTTTTATAGGACGCTTTTATCAGAGGATGAGAAAACCAACTTTTCTTTATATCCCTGTATAAAGAACAGGGGGGAAATAATTATCTTGGCTACTTAAATAAGGAGATCTGAAGAGAATCCAATGGACATTTATAAGCAAGCTCTGCTGCAAAACAAAGCTCTGATCCTTATTTTATACAGGGCATCTTAGTAACTCCCATGGGAAACATCCAAATCAAAGCAAATGATTGTTATTTCTCATATGCTCTCAGTGTTTCCCTTCATGTAGCCATGTAACATCATGTACAATGCCAGGCCCCTCCCTGGGGAGAACTTCTATGCTCTGTTACCATATATACACACATATGTATCTCCTTAACTCCCAATAACTCTGATGAAAGGAATACTCAAGAGGCGGGCACCTGAGATTCTAGCACAGTGAAAAATACCTGTCTACATACAGTGGGAAAGTAGGTCCTACTTCTAAATATTTACAGAAACATTTTTCCATTTTTACAGTGTACTATTGTATAAGGCTTACAAGAGCAAGGACAATTTTTTTCACTATTCTCTCTACACTTGGCTATTGCAACCCCTATGTTACTAGGTTGATGTGAAACCAAATGCAGTATGGAAGACAATCTTAGTGATCATGTGCTTCATTTTCCTATATAGATAGGACCAAAAATCACTTGACTCCAAATTTGTTTCCGTAGTGGTTGATACTTTCTATATGGATACTAAGAGATCTGTTACAAAGAAATCAGCTAGTTCTCACTACAATTTATGAATAAGCATTACCAATGAATACCCAATACATCTGCCTCTGTCAGGGTTCTCCTGCTACTTTCTATTGGTGGTACTTAATGATTGTTAGAAATGAAATGGAGAAAAAGGCAGTTCCTAGTGATCATAATTGTGATGGCATTAAATCACATTACTGCTACACAATTTTATAGCAAGCATTTCTATTCTACAAAGAAAAAGTGAATATTTCTAACTGAAAGAAGAAGATTTATCAGAAATGAATAAAACTGAAGTGAAAATGTTTATATTTTAAAAACTAAATTTCTGGATTTGTTACTGGGGAGATAATTCACTAGAAAGTCATGCAAATAAGATTTAAAAGTTAATACTGAATTAGCTTATCATTGTTTGATATCATTGCAAAGAAAAAGATTTCCTTTCCCAATGAAATGATCAGAAGTCAAAATGCTTCAAATTGGGTCTATAATAAACAAACAATGTAGTGCATCATTTTAAAATGATAGGCAAACACCAGCTCCATTCACCGAATGGACATGTTGAAAAGTGATCAATGTCCCCAAACTGTCCTTAAATTCCATTTTTAATGGTTAGACTGGGTACCACAACAGTTAAGCACTCAATTACTAGCCCAAAGGTTGGTGGTTCAAACCAGGCCTGGAAGACAGGTCTGGCGATCTGCCTCCGAAAGGTCACAGCCTTAAAAACCCTATGGAGCAGTTCTACTGTGCACACAAGAGGTCACTGAGTTGGAATCACAACTCATTGGCAACTAACAACAACAACCTAAAAATTAATAATTTATTTTTAACTTCTCATGGAAGTTGATGCCTAAAAGGAAGTCTTCAAGACTTTGTTTATAAGCAATTGATTAAAATCTTCATGCCATTCTATTCAAGGGTTTTAAGACAGGACATTTGTGAACGTGACTCTCCATACTCAGTCCCACCCTTTATCCCCTCCCCATACAAACTAACCCTCCCAATCAAACACACACTCCTATTCTCTCCTCTTCAGAGTACAAGGGGATTATTCAGACTTATGGTTCATTTGGCAATTGCTAAGAAACTTCACAGTTCAGCATCACCTCCGAAGATGGCAATCCTATATATAACCTGAATTTTTTACACCTACAGTGCAGTTAACATGTAGAAAGGAGCTAAAATGCAATATTGCATCCCAACATCCTCAAGTTTCAATATCACAGATATCAAGAGATGGAAAAAGACTTGCTTGTAGAACTTTAAGCATCTGTAGAACAGAATATATTACCATCACTATCAAAAATAATTAGGAAATACTCATTTTTTATGTTCTACATGCACACCTTTATAAATTGTGTTTCTTCAACGTAGTAAAAGCTGGAGATCACCAATTTAGGTAAACTATGGCTTTTATCGTAGATATTTTAAAACATGCATCAGTAAGTGCCCTGGGTACTAATTCTAGTATTGTTTTGAGCCCTGTTCAGTTCTATGTCTGTGCTTTGCACCTCAGAAGTGAGCCTGCCAAGGCACTTGAAAACTTAAGTCTTTTGGGGACTTCATAAGTCAGCCACAATTTACACAGCACAGAACCCCATCCATCAGCAGTTTAATCAAACTACTTGATTTCAACACACATATTAATTTAAAAAAAAAAAAAAAAACTCAAGTAAACAAAACTAAGTCAAAAAAGATATTACATCACTAAGACAAAATTTATCCCTATCAATGGTTCCTGGCTGCCTCTAGCAATGGAATATAATTTATTCAGAATAAAGAAAAAGGAACCCAAACAAGCCTTCAAACCTAACACAAAAACAAACCAGATAAAAAAAAAACCAAATATATTCCACATAGCTCGATTTGAGGAACAATTTGCACAGCTTTGCATCCTTTTATCTGTCCTTTGAGGTGAGTTTTTCAATGAGTTCTTGGAGTGGTGCAAGTTCTCTTCTATCAATAAGGTTGAATTCCTGTGCATGATAAAAGTAGAAAAAATAGCAAAACATATTATTTGCATCTCATTCCAAAGCAGACTTCCATTAACATTTGGAAGACAATGAGCTTTTGAAGTAAATAAAAGCAGATTTGTTTTTTTCCCTACTCCCTTTCTCTGTGTCTAAAACAAATCACTTAACCACTCCTGATGTTGTTTTTTCATCTGTAATATTAGGATAAATCCATCTCTCTTATAAAATTATTGTGAGTGCTCAATGTGATATTGTATGCTAACCATTTCATATAATGCCTGGCAGAAAGTAAACACTCACTAGCAGTAGTTGCTGCTGCTGCTACACCCCCACCACTAAGTTACTTTATAAGGAGTAACCTGGGCATCATTTAAAAATAGTCAACAAAGTAGGGTCCAAAAAAAAAAAAACAGGCATACCTTCAGCATCATATGAAGGGCAAAAGCCTGGTTATCAACTAACATATCTGAAATTTGTGTAGCATGAGAATAACATGAATAATAGGGGAAACCACAAATATAAATTAAATTCTCTAAGGTCCCTAGGTGGGCACAGTTTGTGCTGGAATGCTAACCTAAAGGTTGATGGTTCAAACCCACCCAGCCGTACTGTGGAAGAAAAGGCCTGGTGATCTACTGTAAAGATTACAGCCAAGAAAACCCTATGGAACAGATCTACTCTGTGACACATGGGGTTACCGTAAGTTGGACTCAACTCGACAGCAACTAATAACAACAAAGTTCAAGGAAGAAAACCTTGATTTAATTTGTGCTTCTTCAGAAGTTTCACCCCTGTCATTCTGAAGTTCAATTTTGAAAAGATTTCCCCTGAACTATAAATTACAAGGCTAATAAATAGAGACTGTCTATATAGTTATCTTTTGATATTCTGCCATGGTGGTGGCATTCTCGATTCCCAATTTCATTAATTTATTAGCATCCAATATGTACTGGGAAAAAACATTAGGGGACATTTAATAGCAGGCCAAGAACACAAATGGATACATATTATATGATTAAATATTTAATTTATACATTAAGCTAATAAGTGTTAAATACATTCTGTCCTTTTAACTTGACAAATATATATTTTCATAATGACCAGGAAAGCTGATTCAAATTTACAATACGCAGACTCCTTGAACTCTGCGCTAAAAAGCAGTGACATGGGGAGAACCAGCCCTCAGCACACCTCCCTGCTCTTTCAACCCCCAGCTCCATCCGGCACCTCAAGGGGCCTTGCATGCATGTGGACATCCTGGCTGGCGCATTTAAGCAATGTCCACATCCACCACCACTCCACCTCTGTAAAAGAGCTGTCACTTGGCTATACATACTGGAGGTATACATACTAGCAGATGTGCAGGTGTGACCTGCCCTCAAGAGAAGGGACCCAAGGAAAAAAAATCCATGCAGACCCTGAATGTGGAGTTAGGGACGTGTGGACAAGGAATTCCAGGTCTCAGGTACCCAAGCATGCATCAGAAGGGTTCTGGGTAGGTATGTCTTGGCCCTGAGAGTTCCTCACCCTATGGGTGGAGGTGCAGCTGGAGAAAGGCCAGAGCAGGATTCTCTAAATTGTGGGGCTCAAGGCAGAGGCCCCTCTTGCCCAATCACAAGGTGATTCTGTATAACTAATGGATCTGCCTTTAAAGAGCTCAGTGTCCTGAGATATAAATACGATCAGATGTGTAAATGCTACGCATCACTCTTCTGTTATTTGCTAAGAGTTAAGAGAATACAGTCTACATTAAGACCATACAGTAAGGTAAAACTAACAGGTAGGAAAACATCCTCTCCTAAACCACCAAAACCTGAACTTTAGCAATCATATTTTGCCTAGATCAAAGCACAGATGCAAACATTAGACTACATTTGCCTCTACTAGTGTCTGTACATGCGATATACTACTAAAGTCATTGTTGAAAGCAATAGTTTTGGCAAGTTACTACCTCCTACGTTATTTTTATATAAGTGTAATCGAGACATAAAATGTCTGCCTTCCATCTGAGAAGGTGTACAGACAGAAAATGGACAGTTTTTTTTTAGTGGGGATGCTGTGGGGGGGGGGAATTTATAAATATATGCCCACATATATACAAAAACAACACAGACTCAAGCCTTGGGCTTCTCCTGCCTATCTCTCCCTTCCCCACCTCCATAAAAACAAACAAAAACGTCAGTGTCAGCTCATTCATTTCCACCTCTTTTTCACCCCTGCTTGCTGCTTCTCTAATTATTATAGCAGGATGGGAATATCCTCTGCACCTCCTAGTCTCCATCTCTAAGGCCAGTTCAAGGAGGACTAAACAAGACAGAAGGAACGGGAGGTCAGCTAGGAAGTCAGATCAAAGCCTAATGGATCTCTGGAAGAGAGCACTCCTTTGGACATTTCTTTTTCCTCCAGACATGATGGGTAGCCCCTAACTGAAAAATTATTCAGAGTGTGGTTTTAAAAAGAAGGAGTAAAAGGTGTGATATTCAAAGCCCATTTCCAGGTCAGAGTCAACTAAAAAAAGACCCAGGCTATATGATAGTGGAGCCATGGTGGTGCAGTGCTTAGGAGCTTGGCTGCTAACCAAAAGGTGGGCACCAGCCGCTCCTTGGAAACCCCATGAGGCAGTTCTCTGTTCTATAGGGTCGCTATGGGTTGGAATCAACTTGATGGCAAAGAGTATATTATAGCAGGGGCTGAGGGGAGCTGGAGGAGCGCCAGAAAGCTCTCAAGAGACCTGCCAAACTGCCACACTCCTTATTCAGCCCTTCCGTTATGGCCTATGAACTGAAGCAATTCCAAAGCAAGATCTCTCAGATTCATCTTAGACTTTCATGCCTCGTGCTTGGAGACTAATGGAATTCAGAAACAAAAGGCCAGATTCTTATCATCATGGCAAGTGTAGGGGAGGATGCAGACTAGAGGGAGAGATGGCAAATTCTATCCTGACAGTGTGGATGCGGTATTCACCTCAGAACTCTGTGGACAAATGCTTACACTAAGCACCAAAGACCTCCTAATCCAACTCACCTGGACAAAAAAAATAAAGTGCTTGAAAGATGTATTGAGATGCGCTTCCTCCTGAAGCTGGATCACAGGGTCAAAATGCTGATGATAAATGTGAGCATACACCCTAAAGAGGCGTTTGAGTATAGTTTTTGCCACAGACATGAAATTCTTCGGGAACGGGACACCTAGTAAATAGATAAACAATCCCCTCTATTAACAAGAGATGAAAACAAGATAATATGAGTTTGTCAGTAAATGGCAACAAATTACAAAGACAAGGATGAAAACAGGAAGTACTTATGAAGTTACAGCTTTATATACCCAATGTATCTTTTAGAAGTTCTCAATGTATTATGAATCAGTTTCTATGGAATAAGAACTAGTCTTCATTACAGCCCTTTATGCTTCTAACATAAACCACCACTTTACTAAAAAAGAAACTGATAAATGCCTAAGGTAGTAGCAGAACTAAAACTCATCCTCAGATCCTCGGATTTCTTAACATCAAGTCTGAATGCAAATATTTGCTGAACACAATGCATTAACCATGTTCAGTTTTATTTAAAATGCTTCCAACAGACTTTTATACTTCTTCTATTCCATTACTACTCTAGATCTATATTTGTTGTGAAATTAACTATAGTCTCTGCTCAACTGAGCTGGTTTTCTGAATAAGAGCACATCTACAGCACTAAACAAATATGAAACTAGAATAATATAAAATCCCATATCCTTTGTTAAAATGGCTAACTGACCCAGATTGGCAAAACAAGTCAAACATTGACACATTTTTTTTTTCCACCAAGTTGATTCTAACGCATGGTGACCCCATGTGTGTCAGAGTAGAACCGTGCTCCATAGGGTTTTCAATGGCTGATTTTTCAGAAGTAGATCACCAGGCCTTTCTTCTGAGGTCCCTCTGGGTGGACTTGGAAACATTCAACCTTTCAAAAGGTTTTCATTAGAAGTCGAACACGTTTACTATTTGCACCACCCAGGGACTCCAAATACTGGTATTATTGAGTTCAAAGTCACCACACAGCCTACTGCTCATTTAAAAAATATTATAGGTCACAAGGAAACATAAGATAAACCAAAATGAGGGGACGTTATACAAAATAATGGACCTGTACTCTTCCAAAGTATCAATGTCATGAAAGACCAAAAAAGACTAAACTACCCACATTCCAAATTAAAGAAGGCCAAAGACATGACAAGTGAATGAAAATGAAAACCAAAAATTTTCTTTTGCTGTGAAAGATACTGGGGGAATGTGAGAAATCTGAATAAGATTTGCAGATTAGACAACAGTATTGTACCAGTGTTAATTTCCTGATTTTGATAGGTATGCTATGATTCTCTAAGGAAATATACACTGAAGTATTTACAGGTAAAGGGGCATCATATATAAAACTCACATCTCAAACAGCTCAGGAAAAACTGGCAGTATATGTGTGTGTGTGTGTACGTATGTATGTATGTGTAAGAGAGAGAAGATAAAGCAAATGTGGTAAAATGTTTGTAACTGAAGAAACTGATGGATATACAGGAATTCTTTGTAAAATGCTTGCAAATTTCATGTAAGCCCAAGATTGAGTTAAATTTATAAATAAAAATTAAAAGTTAAAAAAATGTATATTGTAGGAGATAAAAATAAGGTGAGGACACTCATCCAAAACCACTATGAAGTATGTAAATCTTTCAGTCCTAAAAAAAATAGCCCTTTTATGACAAAGGCTCCTAAGTAGTAAAGCATTCAATAAACGTGTTTAAAACAGCCATAATAACAGCAACTACAAACATTGCTCTCTCCTCCACCAAACCCTTCTTTCAAACACTAAAAGCATAAATTGTAGTCAAAAAGTTTTTTATCATTAGAAGACCAAATTCTTTGTTTTTTCAAAAGGCGGCAGCAGAAAACAGAGTTGTAAGAAGTTTGACAAGGTAAGAACATAAGGACTGTCTACATGTAAGGTATGCCCTTAAAGCCAATATTAAAAAAACAAAAATCCCTTAGTCCCTAATACGCCAACCCCCCAAATCTTGTCTTCTTCCCAAATAGCTTGATTTCAGAATATGTTAGATTGACTCTGTGGGTCATAAAGTCAAACTCCCTCTTTGCAACATATATAATGTAAAATGTGATAGAAGCCACATAAACTCTTTCCCTGAATAAGAAATATATGAATGTAGCAAATGTTATTATCTGCCTACCCAATACCATTCTCTCTTTTTTCAATAACACAGGCCAAATTTTCTTATTATCCTCCATATATTGTTCTTCTCATTGTTTAAAATAATACAGAGGTTTACCTTAATATTCATAATAAACTTAGTATGAAAAAGATAGGACATTTTTAAATGTATACAGTTAGAATTCTTTTGATAGGTATGGACCTGGTATGGTTCCTGGAACAGAAAGCCAATAAACCTCTATGTAGCACATCTACTGAAAGGGCTTAAGCAATAGGAAAATAAATCTATTCTTAACTTCATGATCTTAATTATTTTCTTTAAGAAACCTTCTTTGATTGCAAATAAAATAATGGTATTTTAATGTGAGACAGCGCCAAAAATTTAACAAAATAAAATGATTATCTTAAGTCAGGAAAAGTAGATCATTATTTTCTATAAAACTATTTTTCAACAAGTATGCATTTAAAAATGCTACGTGACATGGGGGAGGAGAAGGATCAATTCCTATAGAACAGCTTGCTTATTTTACCACTGGGAAAAAGAACTTTTGTGCCTCTTCTTGGGAACTGCATAAGATACTGTCATGGATTGAATTGAGTCCCCCAAAAACATCTGTCAACTTGGCTGGGTCATGATTCCCAGTATTGTATGATTGTGTACCATTTTGTAAATCTGATGTGATTTCCTTATGTGTTGTAAACTCTATCACTATGATGAGGCTATACTGATGAGGTTTACAAGATCAGATAGTGTCTCAACGCAATCTCTTTTGAGATATGAGAGAGAGAAGCAAGCAGAGACACACGGGAACCTCATACCATCAAGAAAGCATTACCAGGAGCAGAGTGCATCCTTTGGACCTGAGGTTCCTGCACAGAGAAGCTCCCAGACCAAGGGAAGATTGATGACACAGACCTTCCTCCAGAGCCAACACAGAAAGCATTCCCCTGGAGGTGATAACCTGAATTTGGACTTGAAGCCTACTGGACTGTGAGAGAATAAACTTCTTTTTGCTAAAGCCATCCACTGGTGGTATTTCTGTTATAGCAGCACTAGATGACTAAGACAGATACACACAGCCTTAGAGAATCCCTCCAACTGGAACCAAGAGTAGGGTGCAGAGGGAGAACAATTCTAAAACACATACAATTAGATAAAACATAATGGATCCCAATAGTACAAAATAATTATACCAATTTTTGATGGAAATAACGTCTCATCATCCAACTGATCCTGAACCCAAGTCATCAAATAATCAATATACTTTGGTGCAGAGCACTTAATAGGCTTCTTGATGTTTGTTCCGTCTGCCCAATGATATTCATATCTGCATTGGAAAGATAAAAATCACACAGAATATCAGTATATACCTACATATAGTGTATATATATATATATATGTTTCATATTTTTGTATTATATATGTGTATATATGAATATATACACAGACATGTTTTAAGCCATCTGCTCTTCCAAATAAAGATGCACTGTTAAACTGCCAGTGAGCTATTTTGCATTTATCATGATCCAAACTCATTTTTTTATGTTTCTATGCTCTCCTCCCACCATTCATCTGATGGTTTGTTGTACTGTGGTGGCCTGCATGTTGCTCTGATGCTGGAAGCTATGCCACCAGTATTTCAAATACCAGCAAGGTCACCCACGGTGGACAGATTTCAGCGGACATTCCAGACTAAGACAGACTAGGAAGAAGGACAATCTACTTCTGAAAAATTGGCCAGTGAAAACTTCATGGAGAGCAGCGGATCATTGTCTGATACAGTGCCAGAAGATGAGCCCCTCAGGTCGGAAGGCACTCAAAAGACTACTGGGGAACAGCTGCCTCCTCAAAGTAGAGTCAACCTTAATGACGTGGATGGAACACAGCTTTCAGGACCTTCATCTGCCGATATGGCATGTTTCAAAATGAGAAGAAAAAGCTGCAAACATCCATTATGGACAACACTGTGAAGAATAGGAATTCCAGAACACTTAATTATGCTCGTATGGAACTGTACATAGACCAAGAGGCAGTTGTTCAAACAGAACAAGGAGATAATGCATGGTTTAAAATCAGGAAGGTGTGCATCAAGGTTGTATCCTTTCACCATGATTATTCAATCTGTATGTTGAGCAAATAATCCAAGAAGCTGGACTACATCAAGAATACTGCATAAGGATTGGAGAAAGACTCATTAACATCCTGCGATATGCAGATGATACAATCTTACTTGCTGAAAGTGAAGAGGACTTGAAGCACTTATTGTTGAAGATCAAAGACTACAGCCTTCAGTGTGGATTACTCCTCAACATAAAGAAAACAAAAATCCTCACAACTGAACCAATAAGCAACATAATGATAAACAGAGAAAAGACTGACATTGTCAAGGATTTCATTTTATTTGGATCCACAATCAAGGCCCATGGAAGCAGCAGTCAGGAAATCAAACAACATACTACATTAGGCAAATCTGCTGCAAAAGACTTCTTTAAAGTATTAAAAAGCAAATATGTCACCTTGAGGGCTAAAGTGCACACAACCCAAGCCATGGTATTGTGCACACAACCCAAGCCATGGTATTTTCTATTGCTCCCTATGCATGTGGAGGCTGAACAATGAGTAAAGAAGACCAAAGAAGAATTCATGCATTTGAATTAAGGGGTTGGCAAAGAATATTGAATACACTATGAACAAATCTGTCTTGGAAGAAGTACAGAAGAATGAACAAATCTGTCTTGGAAGAAGTACAGCCAGAATGCTCCTTAGAAGTGAGGATGGCAAGACTTAATCTCACGTACTTTGGACATGTTATCAGGAGGGACTAGTCCCTGGAGAAGGACATCATGCTTGGTAAAGTAGATGGTCAGTGAAAAAGAGAAGACCCTTAACGAGATGTAGTGACACAGTGGCTACAATGGGCTCAAACATAGCAACGATTGTGAGGATGGCGCAGGACTGAGCAGTGTTTTGTTCTGTTGTACATGGGGTCGCTATGAGTTGGAATGAACTCAATGGCACCCAGCAACAACAACATGCTCTCGTCACATGTCTCAATTTTCTCACTTAGCTTTCCTTCATATATAACATTTAGAATCATACAATGCCATAATTGAAAAACTAGCTTACTTCCCAGTTTTATGATGACCATATTTGAACTTCATGGTTGTTTTTCTTCCTTGAAAAACATTTCTCCTTATGCAGTACAATTCTTTTTATGTTGAGACTTTAAATTTTAGGTTAAGAGAATGACAGGAGCTCCAAAGCAATGAAGAGAATTACTCTATATTTGAGTACATTTAATTGAGGAGCTAAATATGCCTTAAAAAAAACTGGTAACCACACAAAGATGCCTACAAGTTTTGGGTATTAACAGAACACTATCCACTAGTTAAATAAACATTTAATGTGCACCTACTATGTGAGAGATACTGTGTCAAGAAAAAGGAATATAAAAATGAAAGGCATTTTCCCTACCCTCAATAGACTAACACATAGAATAGACTAATACAGAACACAGATTTGTAAGTGAACACGTAAAAACTCTAATATGATAATCCTAATAAGAGTCACACACTTGCACTTATAACACACACACACATACACACACACACACACACACAAACATATACATGGAATCTGAATCTTAATATGCAAGCAGCTGAAACACCAAAGTAATCTCTAAACTGAAACATTTAATTTTTAAGTTTCCAAAAGTTTACTTCTACCACTTAGCTTCTCTCTTTGAATCAATTGTGCTTTTCTAACCTGGTTCAGATTTTGGACTGACTGAATGATAGGTCAGTGAGCCAGGCAAAGGAGATTACAGAATATAATATGGAAAAATACTATGGGGTATTTTAAAAGATAAAAATTCTCTTGACATTGGATAAATAAGGATGCTTTCTACTTAAGCAGAGCCACTTACACCTGAGAACAATAATCCAAAATAAGATACACCCAAGTAAACATTCTGTAGTGCACTCTATTGCCAACTCTGGACAACTGGGATGACTGTCACATCCATTTATTTCCCAAATAACTTCCTGGTATCTTGTTCCAGTGTTTAATCACTTTGCCAGTAAAGAGGTTCTTCCTAATATAAAACTGAAGTTCTACTTTGATTTAAGCCTATTTCTTCTTGTTTGATCCCCTTGCAGATAGAGACCATGAAGGAAGGACTTGAGTCATCATTACTCTTCACTTAAAGCAGGAACTCACCCATGTTAAGATACCCTAACATCAATACCTTTCCCTCACAAATCACGTTTTTCTTCTTGTAAATGATTTTCTCATGATCTTCTTCAGGTGTTTCATATTCATTTTTTAAATACAAAGATCAAAAGCAGACACAGTAAACCAAAGAATCATTTTCTTGTTTTTACACATCAATATCCTGAAGCTTTTGAAAATATATTAACTTTCACTATCCTAAGCTTTTTTGAAAAATAAAACTGTATATAGCTTATACTTCTAGCGTTTATAACTATGATTCCCTGATCTTTCTCTTTTGCCATGTTTACACCTAAGATAACTTATTTTATTTTGTAACTCTATTTTTCCCCACTGATTTTTTTTTTTATTCCACCACTGACAGGCCGTTCTCTTTGAAATTTGTTTGTCAATAAGGTATGAACTTTTAAACTGCAAATGCCAAAATACTCACCATTTCTTTATTAATAATGATAATAAATAGTAACAGAGAACAAAGTCCTATGAGTCATCACTCAATATCATTTAGCAAGGGGCTAGCGCTAAGCTATTCACAAATGCCTCTCCTTGGTACAATCCTGCATCTATTGGTAAAGATGGCAAACCATAAACACGATTATATCTTTGTAGCAGTAACGACAGACAAAAGTCAAGACTCTCAAAACAAAAGAAAAAGAAGGAAAGGGGGGGCGGAGGGAGAGAAGAAATGGAAAAAAATCCATGCCTATTCCTGGAAATACTGTATTTAAATCAGTTATATGTAGCTTTAGTTAAACACACACATAAACACAAGCAGAGAGACAAACACAGCTCTCAAAGCCTGAGGAACTTGCTTTCTTAGAAGACAGGTGCTAGTAAATTTCTAAATGCAAAACTAACCATATAAAATTGCAAAATTAAAAACATCTATTTTCACATGTGATAAAGTTAAATACCAGTAACACTAATAAGAATTAAAAAGTACTAAAACAGGATTTCATTTTAAAATGCTCCCTTTTCCTCTAAGAAATCATCCCAGAACAACAAGAGAAAACAGAAATGCACACTCTATCTTTGATGAAACTAGGAGACACCAGTGTCTCTGAGCAAAAAAATAAGATAAAGTGCTACCTTTGTGCATTTTCTAGTGTGGCCTTCATTTCTCTTAAACACCTTTCCTGAAAACTGCCACCTTACTTGTTACCTCCTTATATGGTACCACTAAGCTTTTCATTCATTCTTGTATCTCTGCTATGAGCTCTTCAAGCATTTGACAATAAATTCTCTGAGTCCATGGAATTCTAACTGAATAAAGTTTCTTTTATTCAATGGCAATGTTTTTCTTGTAAATGTCCTTCATCTGTGATTATTTCATTCATCAATTTTTTGTTTTTATAGTATATTTATATAGATCCTATGGCTGTTACTTTTTTTTTTTTTTAAAGTCCTTAAATTTTTTATTTTTTTATTTTATTGTACTTCAGGTGAAGGCTTACAGAACAAATAGTTTCTCATGAAACAGTAGTACACGTTGTTTTATGACATTGGTTAACAACCCCACAACATATTAACCCTCTAAATTCTCAACCTCTTTTTTTTTTTGGTAAAAATACACATAGACAAAGATACATCATTTCAAAAATTTCTACATACACAGTTCAGTGACATTGACTATGCTCTTCCAATTGTGCTGTTATTCTCACTTAAGATGAAGGCTTACAGAACAAAATAGCTTCTCATTTAACAGTTACTACAAATGTTGCCCTATGACAATGGTTAACAATCTCACAACACATCAACAATATCCTTACTCAACCTTGTGTTCCCTATCACCAGCTTCCTTGACTCCTTCTGCCTTCTGGCCCTTGTCACTGGATTCCTGTACCTTGTTAGTCTCATTTGGTTTTACGGGGCTGTCCACTCCCAGGCTGAACAGTGAACCTCGGAGGTAACTTCACCACTGAGCTAAAAGGGTGTCTGGGGGCCATACTCTCGAGGTTTCTCCAGTCTCCTTTAGGCCAGTAAATCTGGTCTTTTTTTGTGTGCGTGTTAGAATTATGCTCTACATCCTTCTCCAGCTCTGTCCAGAACCTTCTATTGTGATCCTGGTCAGAGCAGTCAGTGGTGGTAGCCGGGCACATGGCTGTTACTTTTGAAGAATTAGTTAAGTTCTTCCTGGACTAGCTATTTAGAGGTTTCTGTGGGGAAAGGAGTCAGGGCAGTATTTTAAATAGCACAGTTTCCTTAGTTCATAGGAACAGGATATTGATATAATCTCAGAATACCTCCAAAAAAAAATATCAGTTCAGTTACAAAGAGAAAACTGATGAATTTATGGTGAAGAAACCTGGAAGACACCAACATGACAAGGTAATCAGGGTTAACATAACCAGTGATGTCATGCATCAACACTGTGTGCCTCCTGATGTGATCCACTGGGAAAGGTAGAGTATCATTTCTGTGGTGTTCCTGCCAAGAAAGCATAGCCTGCATGTGGCCACAACAAAACATCAAAGGAACCCAGGGTAACGGTCATCCTACAAAATGTAAGGCTGGGTCAGGGTTCCCCAGGATATCTCCAGATTTGATGATTTGCTAACAGGGCTCACAGGACTCCGATATAGTAGTACTCATGGCTATGATTTATTATAGTGAAAGGATACAAACCAAAATCAGCAAAGGGGAAAGTCCAGAGGAAACCAGCTTCCAAAGTCCTCTCCTAGTGGAGTCGCACAGGATGTACTTAATTCCGCCAGCAGTTGAGCTGTGACAACATATGTGAAATGCCATCTATCAGTCTCATTAGAGACTCAGTGTCCAGCGTTTTTACTGCAAGATAGTCAAGCAGGCACCCTCTGCCTGGAACCTACCAAAATTCCAGACTCCCAGAAGGAAAGCAGTGTTCACCATAAACCATCTCATTTGCACAGTTTAGGCACAGTGAGCCACTCTTACCAGTTAGGGTGGTAGGAGCCCTTCTGAAATCCAAGGGCCAACCTTGTAAGCATGCCTTTCCAGAGACAGTAGTCAGATCTGCTATGTTAACTCTTTTCTGCACAAAAGTCAATACGGGAAAGACTGAGAAACTGTTCCAGGTTGAAGGTACCCGAAGGGATATGACAAATAACTGCAATACGCATCCTAGATAGGATTTTGGAACAGAAAGGAAAAACTGAGACACCGTTGAGAGCAGCAGCTGATGAAATGTGAATGGTGTTTGTGCCGTTGAGTCAGTTCTTAATCGTAGCAACCCTATGTACAACAGAAGGAAATACTGCCTGGTCCTGCACCATCCTCATAATCCTTGCTATGCTTGAGCCCATTGTCAGAGCCATTGTGTCAATCCATCTCATCCAGTACCTTCCTCTTTTTCGCTGACCCTCCACTTTATCAAGCATGATATGTCCTTCTCCAGGGTCCCTCCTGTTAACACGTCCAAAATACGTGAGATGATGTCTCACCATCCTTGCTTCTATAGAGCATTCTGGCTGTACTTCTTCCAAGACAGATTTGTTCATTCTTCTGACAGTCCATGGTATAGTCAATATTCTTGGCCAACACTGTAATTCAAAGGTGCAAATTCTTTTTTGGTCTTCCTTGTAACATTGTCCAGCATATGAGGCAACTAAAAATCCACAGCTTAGATCAGGCACACCTTAGTCCTCAAAGTGATATCCTCGCTTTTCAATACTTTAAAGATGACTTTTGCAGCAGATTTGCCCAACACAATAAGTAAATTTGAATAATAGTCATATTAACTGGTATTCCTTGTAGGTGTATGGATATTATCCTATCACTGACAGCACTATACTTCAGGATGAATCTTGAAATGTTCTTTTTGATGATGAATGCAATGCCATTGCTCTTCAGTTTGTCATTCCCAGCAGTAACCATATGATTGTCTGATTCAAAATGGCCAATACCAGTCCATTTCAGCTCACTAATGCCTAGGATATCGATCTTTTATGCAGTCCATTTCATTTTTGACAACTTCCAATTTTCCTAGATTCATACTTCATACATTCCATGTTCTGATTATTAATGGATGTTTGCAGCTGTTTCTTCTCATTTTGAGTCGTGACACAACAGCAAATGAAGGTCCTGAAAGCTTGAATCCATCCACATCATTAAGGTCGACTCTACTTTGAGGAGGCAGGTCTTCCCCAGTGGTATTTTGAGTGCTTCCAACCTGAGAGGCTCATCTTCTGGCACTACACCAATGTTCCACTGCTATTCATAAGGTTTTCACTGGCCAATTTTTTCAGAAATAGACTGCCAGGTCCTTCTTCCTAGTCTGTCTTAGTCCAAAGCTCCGCTGAAACCTGTCCACCATGGGTGACCCTGCTGGTATTTAAAATACCAGTGGCATAGCTTCCAGCATCACAGCAATACACAAGCCACCAGAGTTCGATAAACTAACAGACACGTGGGAGTTTGTAGACTAGAGGTGGTGATTTGAAAGGTTTGTATGTTGGTTATGTAGAAAAGTATCTTTGTGAAAAATGCACATTGGAATATTAAGGAGTGATGGAGCATCCTGTCTACAATTTGCTCAAAAGGTTTAGAAAAAAAATTAATGTTAATGAGTATACATACAGAGAAAGGGTGATGAAGCAAATGTGGTAAAATGTTAACAAAGTGGGGAATTTGGGTGAAAGGGATACAGGAGTTCTTTGTACTGTTGTGTACGGTAAAGTTATGTAACCTTAAAATTATTTCAAAATAAGTTGTTTTCTCAAAAAAGTTACCTTAGGAAGCTAGGCATACATTCCAGTAATGTTCAAAATCATTTAAACACTTCTGTTTTGAAACTGCCAGGAGAGTTTAAAGCATATTGTTTTGAACATCCTCAATGATGGCAAACTGTCATTCTTTTCAAAGGGACCTGATTCTTAGAAACAGCAAAACTCATTTGGAGTTATTTTGAGGAATAAGGTAGGTGACTCCAACAAGGTAATCCTTTGGTCAATATGTGGATTTATTAAAAATAATAATAATAAGGTATGACTATGAAGTAATAAAACTATCTTCTCCTGCATGATCTGGTTCTGACATGACAATTTAAAATAGTCCAAGCAATTAGCAGAATAAGTGATTAACCATCTCAGGTCACTACTTAGAATGATAATACTCCTAAGTACTAGTATGTTTGGGCAGTTTGTATTGTTGTTTTGTTTTGATATTCACATCTTGTATATTACAGAAAGGAAGAACATCCTTTTTAAAAAGTTAGCACTAAGAATAAGACTCCTCTCTACATTATGCCTTATAAACATCAAATGATATTGCTTGTAACATGGGAAATGATACAGTGTAGCAATTAAGAGTACAGACACTAGAATCAAATAGACCTGAGTGTCAACCCCAGCATTGCCTGTTTCTAGATAATCAGACCTTGGACAAATTAATCTTTCTAAGATTCAATTTCTTGTCCTGTAAAATGAAAACAGCAACACTTTTCTTACCTCATAGGGTTGCTGTATGAAGTAAAAGATATAATGCATGTATAGGCCTTGCATTTAGGAGGGACTAAATAAATGGTAGCTGTTATTGTTATTATGAGTAACAGTAATAATAATAGCCAACAAAGTTCCAAAACTTAATTGATGCAACCAACATTTATTGAGTGCTAACTAGGTGATAGGCACTGTCCTTACACTAAATGGATTCTAAAGAACAAGTTAAACAAGACAAGTATAAATAGGATAAGAAGTATAATGTAACAAAGAAATGTAACCATTATAAAGATAAAAAAAAGTTAAAGAACAAAAACATCACATCTATTCAAGAAATTAGAAAGCTTCATGCAGAAGGAAAGATTTGATCTGGGCCATGAAGATAGGTAAGATTTTTAAAATATTAGCAGAAGATAACAGGAAGGAGATGGAAAAGAGAAGAAAAGTATCTGAGAGAAAAAACAAAATGAGTAAATCTTAAAAGATTATAAGGTAATGGATGGATCAGCAGGGTATTTTCGGTAATGTAGTTTGGATACACCAGAGGAGTAACATAAGCAAACAGGAAAAAAGCAAAATGGAAGACAATACAGGGAAGGCCATAAAGCTCAGGCTAAGGAATCTGGCCTTGATATATTCATCACTGGTGAACCACAGAAGCAGCTGCTAAGAAGAGAAACTACATGGTCAGAAACTTTCTTCTTATCGAAGAACCATGACATAATGTAAAAGTAAGAACTGATCATTAACCATGTCTTACTTTGGGCCAGCTGACATCACTGGGCAACTCTCCTCTGTACAGAAATCTGTGATGGTTCCGTAAAGCATGTTGATCTGATTGAAGAAATCCACAGCTGCAAAGCAAATATAAGCTATTAGTAGAACAGAATGGTTAAAATAAAAACTAAATTTTGATTTTACTCATGCATGATCCTAAGTTTATCAGTATTCTTTTTTCAACAAGGAACAGTGATAAACACATAAAGAAACCACAATATTGGACTATATTAAAATTAGGAATTTCTGTTCATCAAGAGATACCATTAAGAGAGCAAAAAGGCAAATCACAGAGTGGAAGAAATAATTTGTGACACATATAACCAACAAAAATTTGGAGCCCTGGTAGCTACACTCGGTTACACTCGGCTGCTAACCGAAAGGTTCACAGTTTGAACCCACTCAGCAGCTTTGCAGGGAAAAGATCTGGTGATCTGCTTCTGTAAAGATTACAGCCAAGAAGAACCTACTGGGCAGTTCTACTGTCACATGGGGTTGCCATGAGTTGGAATCAACTCAACAGCACCCACCCACAACAAAAAGACAGTCCAAAAGAAAAATGTGAGACTGTCTTCAACTGGCACTTCATAAAAGGTTTCCAGAATGTCAAAAAGCAAATGAAAATATGCTCTACCACATTAGCAATCATAGAATTGTAATTAAAATGACAGTGGAATGTCATTCCATAGCCATCAAAATGGCTAAAATTTATTTGAAAATACAAATGGCCAAGAACATCCAAGATACTCTTAGAATAAGGTAGAAGGACTGCCATGTCAAGACTTATAAACTACAATGAATAAAAACAGTGTGGTCTTTGTAGACCAATAGAACAGAATAGAGACACCAGAAATAGATGAAAGTAAAGAGGAAAACACTTGATTTATTGTAACAAGTATTTCCTCTCTGCTTGCATCTGTTTCCGGTAACAAGTCATCACTGCAGAACAATGGGAAAAGGGCAGTCTTTTCAACAGATAGTTCTAAGTCAACTGGCTATCTCTATTAAAAAAAAAAAAAAAAAAAAAACTTGACTCTTCACTCATGCCATACACACCTAAATGTAAAAGGCTATTTCTAGGAATAGTATAGAAAAATATTTTCATGGCCTATGGCATGGATATATTTCTTAAGAAGGCCACAAAAAAGCACTAGTTGAGGAATAGTTTTCCATTCATTTCATTTGATTTATTCCTAGGTTTTTATATTTTTTATGCTATTCATAATTATTTATATTAACCTCAGAACTAACAACCTTATTAAACTCATCTATTAATAATACTAATTATGATATAGTTTCTTTTAGATTTTCTACATTCAAATTCCTATTGATTGTGAATGAAAGTGTTCGGTCTCCCTTTTCAGTAGTTATATCTTTTCTTTATTTTTCCTGATTTACTGCATTGGTTAAGACCCCAGTTAAAAGCTGAACAGAAGTGGTGGTGGTGAACACCCTTGACTCATCTCTAATCTGAGAAAAACTTCAACATTTCATTATTAAGTATGATGTTTGCTAGTCTTTTTTGGGAATATATGGCTATTTTTTATCAGAAGAAACTGCTAACCAATTATTTATTTGCTAAGTTTTTTATTATGAATTGATTTTGAATTTTACCAAATGCCTTTTCTCCATGTACTGAGATGACAGAATTTTTTTCCTCCTTTATTTGAGTTAATGTGGTGGATTACAATGAATGCTTTTCAAGAGTTAAACCAATCTTGTATTCCTGGAATAAACTCAACTTGGTCATGATGTGCTATATTTTTTTATATATTGCTAGATTCTGTTTGCTAATATTTTTATAAGGATTTTTATAAGTAGGTTCATAAATGGGATTAACTTATTTCGTTTTCTCATAGTGTCTATGAAGGCATCATAAAACAACAGACAGCCTTTTTCCCATTCTCTGTAAGAGCTTGAGAAAGACTGGTGTGATGGATAAGATTGTATGTCAACTTGTCTAGACCATTACTGTCAGTGTTTTAGCAGTTGTATAATGTTGTGATCACCCTCATGATGGAATCTGCCGAGTGGTACCAGTGGAGGCGGGGCCTGTGGCAGCTCACCACCCTCTCGGTTTCATCTCTCTGCCTTCTGCCAGTTACCTTCTGCCTGCTCGCCTTGCCAAGGTTTTTGGCTTATTCCAGACTCAGCAGCTGCCTCTTGTTGTCTCACCTCTGGTTCCTGGGACTTGAGCTAGCAGCTCACCTGTTGATCTTGGAATTCATCAAACTTCTCAGCCTGCGAGCAAGAGTCCAGTTCCCCGAACTGCTGACCTTGGGTTCGCTAGCCCCTGCAACTACGTGAATCAGGAGAAACCTTGCGGTCTTGTCTGCTGATCTTGGAATTCATTGACCTTCACAGCCCCCGAGCAGGAGCCCCTCTCCAACCTGCTGACCTTGGGTTCACCGGCTTCTGCAGTTACATGAACTGGGAGCGGCCTCTACCCTGATCTGTGGACTTGGGACGTTTTAGCCTCTACAATTGCGTGAGCTATTTCCTTGATATAAATCTCTCTCTATATATATATTTATACGCTTTACTGGTTTTGCTTCTCTAGAGAACCCAGCCTAAAACATTTGGTACCGAGAGAGTGGGGTTGCTCTAACAGATACCTAAAATGTGGAAGCGGTTTCGAAACTGTCAATGGATAGAGTAGTGGCAACAACAAAGGATAAGCAGCAGCAGAGAACCTGCAACAGCAGAGAAGTGGCAGTGGCAGGGAATCTGCAGTGGCAGAGGAGCGGCAGTGGCAGAGAACCAACAGCAGCAGAACCAAGAGACCAGCACTGGAGCCGACCAACAGAGCGAGAGACCTGAGTGCCTGTGCGCAGGAGGCTTCCTGGCAGAGTGGGGTGCCTCTGGGTACTTATTGGTGGAGCTAGGCTTGCCAACCCACGGAGTGAGAGAGCTGAGTGCCTGTGCGCACAAGGCTTTCTGGTGGATTGGGGTGCCTCCGGGCACTTATTGGTGGAGCTACAGAGCTTTGGAACACTTGCCCCAGCAGGGCAGATGTGGGCCTGAGGCCCGAGCAGCCGAGAGGCCAAGAAACCAGAAAACAAGCTGAAGAGACAAGGGACACAAGAAGCTGAGCTGCCTTGGTCTCAAAACGCATGGCCATGACCTCAGGGGTTTCAAAGGGTGGAGTCATAGCCTCTGGTGTTTCTAAGGGTGGAGTTGTCACTCCGATGGAGTAGGAGAATGGTGCGCCTAAAGCCAAAGGAGCAGGGCTGCTGTCCCAGTGGGCCTGGAAGGTGAAGCTGAAGCCCAGGGCCCAGGGCCAAGGAGCCTCCACTCAAAATCCAGAGACTGTGGCCAATATCTAGAGTCTGGAGGGCAGGGCTATTGTGTAAACTGTCTCAGAGAACAGAAGATTATTTTCAAAGCCTTGAGGGCTAATGTAATGTGTTCTGCTGACTTGCTTGGTGCCGGTTATCACTTCTTTTCCTCTAGTTTCTCCCATTTGTAACGGAAATGTCTAGCTTGTGCCTGCTCTGTCATTGTACCTTTGGAAGCAAATAACTTGTATTCTAGATTTCACAGATGAAGAGGAATTTTTGGATTTTGGACTTGGAGTTAAGACTTTTGCTATGATATGATGAGATGAATATGTTTTCCATGTTGCAAGGATGTGATTTTTTGGGGGCCAAAGGGTAGAATGTCATGGTTTGAATTATGTCCTCCCAAAAATGTGCGTATCAATTTGGCTGGGCCATGATTCCCAGAATTGTGTGGTTGGCCTCCATTTTGTGATTGTAATTTTATGTTAAAGAGGATTAGGGTGGGATTGTAATACCACCTTTACCCAGGTCATATCCCAGATCCAGTGTAAAGGGAGTTTCCCTGGGGTGTGGCCTGCACCACCTTCTGTCTCTCAAGAGAAAAGGAAAGGGAAGCAAGCAGGCAGTTGGGGACCTCATACCATCAATAAGGCAGTGCCGGGAGCAGAGTGCATCCTTTGGACCGGGGTCCCTGCGCAAAGAAGCTCCTAGTCTGGGGGAACACTGACGAGAAGAAGCCCTACAGAGAGAGAGCCTTCCGCTGGAGTTGACGCCCTGAATTTGGACTTTAGCCTACTTTACTGTAAAGGAATAAACTTCTCTTCGTTAAAACCATCCACTTGTAGTGTTCTGTTATAGCAGCACTAGATGACTAAGACAACTGGTATTAATTTTTCCTTAAATGTTTGGTAGAAATCTCTACTGTAAGAATGTTTTTAATTAGATTCCATTTTTTAGAATAGTTACAAGACTATTTAGATTTTCTATTCTTCTGTCAGCTCTGCTAAGTTGAATTTTTCTAGGAATTTGTCCATTTCAATTAAACTTCCAAATTTATCGATATAATTTAAAATTTATTCATAATACTCACTTATGATTTTTTAATGCTATGATCTGTAGTGATACTCTTTCATTCCTCGTATTTGTTATTTGTGCTTCATTTTAATTTTTTCTTGATCAGTCTTGTCAAGGGTTATAGTTTTCATTAAACTTTTCAAGGAACCAATTTTTGGGGGGGATGAGGGGGGAACTTTGTTGATTCTCTTTATTCTATGTTTGCTTTCTATTTTATTAACTTCTGCCTTTATCTTTACTGACTTCTTTTTTTACTTTCTTTGCATTTAATTTGCTGTTATTTTGCTAACCTCTGGAGATAAGATGCTTAGATCATTCATTTTCAATAGTTTTTCTTTTCAAATATATATACGCAAGGCTTTAAACTTCCCTCTAAGCACAGCTTTAGCTACATGCCACACGTTTTTGTATGTAGTATTTTCAGTATATTTCAGTTCAAAATATTTTCTAATTTCCATCGAGATATATCCTTTCCAAACATATATAGATTTTCTAGTTCTTGTTATTGATTTTTAGCTAAATTCATTATGGTTAGAGAACATATTTCATATGATTTCAATCCCTTCAGTTTTTGAAAATGTACATGTGTGTAATCTGAAGTGCTTGGGTCATGTGTCCCTCAGGTCAAATCTGTTATCATGTTGCCTAAATGCTTTTAATTCCTTGTTGTTTTTTGCTCTACACTGTCTATCAGTTACTGAGAGAGGAGAGTTAAAATCTGC